GGCATAACAACTATTTGTAAATTTAAAGGATAAATCTATTTGAAATGTTATGTCACTGTAACCTTAGATTTTGTGGATGATAGCTGGTGATAAGTAAAATTGAGTTCACAAACATAAAAAGAGAAGGATGATGTGAGAACACCAGGCACACCCTGAGCTGGATTGTTACTATCAGACTATTAAGATGCTGATTTCCTTGGTTTCCAGTACCAGATCTTGCCCTACCTGTCTTTTGTTTCCAGTTCTTCAGTGAGAACACTCCTGAGAGTTTTGTACCTAATGTTTTTCTTCCTTTTGGTTTAGATTTTATTTCGCGTCATCTCTTAATTCCCACAAGTTATAATTATGCTAGCATGTAAGGGTTAATAAAAGAATTAGAAACAAAAATATCATAGGGTAAATTTGGTATCTTTTTCATATTTTATATATGTTAAATTCATATTTCTTACAATGATTAGCACAAAGGTAATATTTTCTCTTTATTGAAGATATGTAAAATAGTTCACCTTAAAATTGATGCTATATATAATAAGGTATCACCTTTGCTATCTTTAGGCCATCTAATCATTCAGTTACAGACCTCAGGGGCTGCGTCTTACAGTGCATTTCTCAGCTAGATTGGTGAAAGTGAAGAGAATTTAGTACAGAATGATATAAATGATAGTACTTCTTACATCAAAATCCTTATACTTTGAACAGACACTTTATCAAGTGGCTGAGCAAACACAGCAGCTTTTGAAGTATTTGAAGAGCCATTGAATTTGAGAGTCTTCATGCCTTCACTGTTCTTTAATCTTATTAGTACAGACCTTCTTCAAAACATGGCTCTCCCTTGGTTCAAATTTAAGGACGCAGATTATAAAATAATGCTTAGAACTTCTTATCTACTTCAACCTGTTGATAGATATATCAAATATTTAGGAAGCTCTTGAATTTAGAATAAGAAATCATAATATTCTAAAATGATACCTAAATTAATAGGAATCTATATGATCTCTTTTTAAAAAAAGACAATCTATTACAACATTTGCTCTCTACTATGTATTTTTCAAACTGGGAAAAGAAAATCTTTTCATTCAGTGTTTTATATTCACCAATTATATGATCAGATGAGTGAAAAAAATAATAATTGGATCTAAAAGAGATGTAGCAAACCTCAGCCAGGCCAGCTCCAAAAGAAAAGTAAGCAATGACAATATTTTAAATTTAATTGTGACAGTAATTTAGCTGGATATCACTTTCTGTAATTTTCTTCTTTTTATTCTTTGTGGTTGGGCTCATTCTGGCCTATTTATGCTTGGATCTCAATTTCAAAATTAAACAAGAAAACTTCATTTGGAAATACTGCCTGGTCCTTAATATAAACAGGTGGCCACTTGTAGCGAGTAGGGTAGCTACGTTTGTCCTGTGTGTGCATCTCAGCTTTACCACTTAGTGCAGCTAGTTGTTTGTCTTGCGGCACAGCAGTTCTGTCCTTCTACTTCTGATTTTTCCAAACTGAGCGTCAGTTTTCTTTCTTTTGAGGGCTGTGACATGGATGTCTTAAATATTGATCTGTTTATGGTTCTCAATATTGCCATTTTGGTTTAGCTGTATTTACTGTCTTTGGATTGTTGTTGGACTTCTCATTGTCTTTCCTGTTCTTTTTACTTTGCTTCTGGTCACTGAGCTTTCTTGATAGTTGTGGTATCCTTTCTCATGAACTTTTAACATTAGCATACTTAACAAAATAAGTGCTAAGCCTGATCTAGCTTACAGACTGCCAATCCTCTTTTTATCTCCCCTCTCTCACTGCATATCCCTTCTTTTCTCCATTTATAGACATTCATTTGCACCTCTGATCCTGCTCACAGGCTGTAAATTACATGTAGGCTAAGACAGTGTCATAGTTGTTTTGTATCATACACAGTACATCGCACATTGTATGTGCTTTGGAAGTGAATAGGAAAGATACCTTATACTTTCTCTTTCAGTATGACAAATTAACATAGGAACTTTGACCCTTCTTGGCAACTCAGTTGTTAGCTTTAGTATCAATTTCAAACATTTGTTGAGAACCGTTTATGGGAAGGCCTTCTGCTAGGCAGAAATAGATAGTCTTGGGCAATGATAGCCTATTGAGCCTTGCTAAATTAGTCCTACATGCTGTATAATTTGGAAACCATATTAAGGGGTTAGTTTAAAATAAGTGTAAGTTCCCTCTGGATTCTGTTTTCAGAGATATATTCTTTAGTGAAAGAAGAGTGATATAGGTATTTTTGGTGCTAAATTGATATAATCTGTGTGTATGTAGAGATGTACACACACACACACACAAACAGAGAAAGTGAGAAACAGAGAAAAGACAGAAAGCCAAATGAGAGAACATAAAACAAGGTCAGTTCTTCAAAGATTTCTTTTAAAGTTTTTGCTCTAATTCTAAGCAGTAATGTTTAAAAGATGTGGTTTCCTGACAAACTTGAATAATATGTAGCAGAAATGTACAGCTCCAAGCTCTTTCTCAGCCATTATCTGTAATCTGGTGTTTTACTTTGTAGACATTTCTGAATTTAAGGGTTGCATTTTCTAAAGGGTGCTATTGTGTTCTGTGGATAGCATGGTCATAGAGATGGGTAATTTCAAAAGTGGGCATGGCAGAATCTTTTCTTTAAATTATAGATTAGAAAAAAGTATGTCTAAACTGATGTTTTGAAACTTTCTTTGTGACTTTCATAAGCGTTTTCTTTATGGCTACAAATGATATATATTAAGTAAGTAGATTCTAACTATTTTCAATTTGATGATCCCTTTCCAGTTGTTAAAGAAATAGACCCTTTTATGGCAATTGTTGTTTCAGTATACTTTGATTGAGAAAATATATAGGCAAAAATTTACAGGTTAAACTGTGCAACTCTTTTCATGAATCAGCATTTTCATTAAAAAGTACATTTTCAAAATATAATATCAAGTGTGTGTAGCATACTTTAATTTTGGATAATGCGTAATGAATATAAATGCTCTATCCCTTATAATAACATAGCTACATACTCAATAAGAACCTGATAGATTACTGTTCAGTGATTCTTAAGTGACAGGTGCTGCTTTTGAAGATATACTTGCCTTCTTTAGCCACTATTACAAAAAAATCTATGTTTTAGCCAATGATTTATTAATTGACACTTTATTCAGTAGTTTAAAATGTATTTTAGGACATTAATCTCAAAACTGTACTGTTTTGTTTTTGAAGATTTAAGTACATAATGAACTAGAATAAAGAAGAGAAGGAAACTTATTATAATGATCCTTTTCATTCTAAAATGCTTTATTTATTTACTTTGCCTCCAAATCTTTTGCACCATTCATATTGTGGCATTAATGTATTTGTAGGTTTAAATCATTTTAACTGAACTGAATGACTTTAGAATTAATACCCCAATAACCCTCTCTCTCTCTCTCTGTCTCTCTCTCTTTCTCTTTCTGTCTCTCTCTCTCTTTCTGTCTCTCTCTCTCTGTCTCTCCTTCCCTCTCTTTTTCCCTCCCTCTCTCTCTCTAACCCATTTTAAACACACTAATATCATTATCAGTTTCCGTTTCACTCAGGGCAGGCTGAACTAAATTGAGTGAAAGCCACTACTTCCTTCAAAATCTCTGTGGTTTATACATTTGAATCTCTCACTTAGACAAGTTTCCCAAAGATGAAAGTGGTGGCTCATTGTTCATTACTCATATCTACTATTGTGATAATTTTGCTGTAATGAAAATACATTATCATGTCTGATATTAAAAATTTGAGTACCAGGGATGAGGATATAGCTTAATGAAAGAGTCTTTGCCTAGCATGCCTGCAGTTTTCAATCAATTCCTAGTAGCTAAATAAATAAATAAATTTTGCCTGGAGTACAATTTCTAAACATTTCAAAAAGAATATATTTCAGCATAAGAGTTACTTTCATGTATTTTGTCATAAGTATCAGTAACATGCTTAATACCTCACTAAGAAAAATTAGACCTTAAGATTGGGGATGTAGCTCAGTAGTATAGTGCTTGCCTAGAACACATGTGATGATTTGATTCTTGCACTAAACAACAAAACAACTTCAGATGTTAAATTGTGGTAGATTGTGAGCTTGCTACGTAATTCCTTGTGACATGAAGTATGTGCTTTTGTTTTGTTTTGGTTTTTTTGGGTACTGGGTATCAAACTCAGCACATTGCACTTGTCAGGAACTGTGCTTAATTGGTCATGCTGTACACGATTAGGAGCACTGTGCTGTCCATATCTAGGTAGGAGCACTGTGCTGTCCGTATCGAGGAAGGAGCACTGTGCTGTCCGTATCTAGGCAGGAGCATTGTGCTGTCCATATCTAGGTAGGAGCACTGTGCTGTCTGTATCTAGGCAGGAGCTGAACACACAGGAGCTTTCCTCCTTTACCCCTACACTTGGTTTGCTTCTATGTGCCTCCCTGTGATAATCAGGATCAAGAAAACTGAAATGAATTCAAAGATATGGAAGGTGTAAAGAACCCTTAACAAATGAGGAATGATCAAGTCCTGGGATCCCATTTAGTATATTTATTTCATAATATATTTAAAGGACATGTGGAACTAGCATAGCTATTATTGTTTCAAAGGTTACTGTATTTTAAATTTATTCTTTATAGCTTCCTAGGCAGAATTAGTCCCAAGGAATCAAACATCTGTTCTATATGGAGAAGAACCTAACTAGTTGAATGGGTTACATGAAGATAAAAGATTTGATATTAACAGGGATATTTGGGCCTGGGCTGGATGACACTTGCTGAGCTATGATAAAATACAACAAGAATCTCAAAGTGTATGGACTACACGGCCTATAAAGCGCCTTTCAAACATAAGAATTTCCACAGTACTAGGAAAGAAACAAATGTGTAACACAAATCATGATTTAACAGCATGGGAATACTCACTTTTAAATTGCACTCTCAGAATATAATGTGTCCTTCATTTTCTAAGCCGTTGTGAATTCCTTAAGAGCTATACATTCAAAATTGTGCTAGACTCAGATGCAGCAGCATATGGAGGACATCAGAGACTGGACCACAATACGGATTTCTTTTCTAATCCTTTTGAGCATAATGGCCGGCACTATTCTCTTTTGGTAAGTAAGGCTCTTAAGATACTTTCATTCTATTTTAATTTTAATTCTGTTTTAATACCTTATTTTTGCAGTCATGTTTTTGTTCAAAGAAATATCTTTCCAAGTAGCCACATGAGAAAACAGGACTAGGAAAAGGGCACTACAATTGAAAACCAGGTGTAGTATTGTGCTGGAACAAATTTGGTATTTAAAAAGGTAATTTTAGGAGTTATCTGAGGACAACTGGGGAAAGAAATTTGGGTATTAATAGTAACATAAACTCTCTGTAAGGAAATGAGAGGAAGACAGTTTTTAATTTTTTCAGTTATGTTTCTATTCTTCCTATAATAATTTACTTCCTGTTCTTGCTTTCTTTGTAGTAATTTACAATAAGAATCTTTCCTCATTAGTGACTATCTAATGAAGTTTAACTTAAAATACTATAAGAAATCAATAAAATTTATATCTCCTTTTTCTTTTCATGTATTAAATTGAAGGCTATGTTTAATTTTAAATTTCACTGGTTGCTACATATTAGTGAGGAATTTTTACACTGTGGTTTTGACACAAGTAGTAAAATGCTGTTTTGCACTACTATATTTTAATCCTTTTAAAGATACAGAATTCAGAAATTTTTTAGATTGGATGAATTCTTCCTTTAATTGATGCTCTTATAGTACACTCCAGTCTATGTCTATAATACATTAATTCTCTCTCTCTCTTTTTTTTTTTTTTTTTTTTTCTTTTTTTTTTTTTTTTTTTGCTGGCTGGTTATCTAGCTGTCTCTTGTTCTCCATCTATTTCTTTATCCCAGACCTGCATTTCCTTTTTATTTTCTTTATATAAAAATGAACTTCATAATTTTCGTTACTCAGGACGGAGTTGTCTAACAAATATATGGATTTATCATAGCCATTAAAACTCTAAACTGAATAAATTATCTCACTTTTTAAAAATTTCAATGTAAGTTAAGTAAAAAATATATGATCCTCCTGGATCTTCTGCTTTCCTGTGTTATATCAGCTCTTACAGTGGTGCTAACCCTTCATTAGGTCAGTTGGTTTGTTATACACAGAACTGATGTACCATAAAATAAATGACAGTGGTACATTTCAAAGATTAAGTTGTTTGGGTATAGGCTGTTAGGAATGTTCAGTGACCATAGGAGACTTAGGTGTTACACATGGGTAGTTGTTAATGGTGACATTTTTATAGTTGTATAGATATATACAGAGGTACATGTGGATTATTAAGAGAATGAGAAAGATCTCAAAGTTAATATGACTCTTCCTTTAAGAAATTATTGTTTTAGTTTACCAGAACATTTAATTTTGAGATATAAGATTGATTTTTTAAAAAAGTAGTTTTATTAGAAAATTACCTTTAAACTCTAGAATAAACAAAAGGGTTGCAGACTTTAACCCTTGAGAGGTTAGGAAAAATGTTCAGCTTGCAAAGAAAAACCACAGAGGATCAGCAAGCAATTGCAATAAAGCTGAACTTTAACTAACCGAACTTCTGATCCAACTCAGCCAGAAAGTTAAGAGTCAGCCTTGTCTTCCCAGAAGCAGCATCTTGTTTTGATAACTGCAGGTGCATCAGAAATTGCTCACTGAAGTACATCTTTAGGCCCCAGATGAAATATTCACTGGCTTTAATATCACAAGAAGATGTCCCTAATGGACCAGTAAAATAGTGAAAATCCAAGAAAACTGGTTTCCTTTTTGAAAGAATTTTCCTGCAAAGAGCCAGAAGGAGGGGAGAAAAATCACATGAACAAGTAGCTATTACATGAATGCCTTATTATAAAGAAACTCCTTATTAAATTGAATTCTTATATGTTAAAATCCAATCAGATACCTGAACATGACTCGAAGTACTGTTGATCTCATCTCTCTGCCAGTGAAAGCCAGCCATCTCCCACACCTTGAATAAATAGAGGAAGAGAAGATAAAATAAAAAATTTACCTCTTCCGTGAAAGTTCTGACAATCATAACTAGTACACAGCATTTTCTAAAGTTTAATTTGCAAGCTCAATAATTCAGAGGATCTTCTGAATAAGAATCAAATCTGTTTTCAAAGATAACAACAAACAGAGCTGGAAGGAATCTCAAAATAGCCTTCCCTGCTACGGCATCCGCAGGTAGAGCCCAAGCATTGTCTCTGAGTTTCTTCAGTTGAATCTGTGAAGCTGGGCACAATACACATGTCCAACCACTGAAGCACTATTGCTAAGGTGAAGGGACCTCTCACATGCCAAAACGTGAAAGGGGAGGACTTCTCCATTTTCCTTTACTTACAGTTACTGAAAACTTCACTTTGGCATATTCATCTCTCTCTATTTCGGTTCCTGATATGAGAATCTAAACATTAATTTGTATGTTAATTTGTGCGTATGGGGTGAGAAGGCTTCCTTGCTCTGGTTCAAATTCCATGGCACAAATGGGAGGCAAGAGATTATTTAGATTTAAGTGAATTAGATTTCTTTACAGCAACTGAAGCAGTTTCAGTAATAAAACTATGAATAAAACAAAAGATTTAACATTAATTACTTTGCCAGTTAAACTCCCTGTCAAAATAAGAAATAGATATATTTATTCACATCTAAATTTGGGGATACAAAAGTAGACATTTAGTGTAGGGATTTGCATAGTTGAATCTTTTATTGTCCTTTAGTTTTAAATTTAAAAAATACCATTTAACAGTTGGGACATGTCTTTAACTTTAAACAAGTTACAGAAATGTTTAATTTTTACTTGAAAAGTTCTCAATTCTTCAAGTTTTCTCATGTTTCTACATTAGATGAGATAGTACACATTTCTACTTACAAATAATCATTAGCATCACTTTCCCCTAATATAAAATTTCATTTTCTACAAATTTTTTGTTAGTTTTGTGGTTTTTTTTTTTTTTGTCTTTTTCATTTTTATCAGTACCAGGGATCAAACTCACGACCGCACACTTGCAAGGCAGGCGCTTACGCTGCTGAGCTAAATCCCCAGCCCAAATTTTTTGTTAGTTAAAGCATGTTTATGAAAAATAAAATCACTTCATGTCACTTTTATTTTTCAAATTAAGTGTAAAAATTTTCTACAGAATATATGTAGATTTAAATTTGAAATGTTTTTATCCTACCATATTATATCTGAATGTGTTATTGCTAAATTTAACAGCACCTAAGAAAATTTAAAAATTAGTCTTTGTAATATTAAGCCTTTCTTGTTTAAAAATTTTCTCTTTGCAGGTGTTTGACACCTGTTTTCAAAAATTATGTAACCATTTTTACAACTCACTTATGACCCTAGAGAAAAATAACACTTTACATGACTGATATACTCAAATAAATCTCTATGTGATCAGTTTTTTGTTAGCCATACTAATGCTTGCTATAGTAATTAAGATATTATAGTAAAATAACTGAAGAGATTAGCATACATTTGACTCTTAGTGAGTGAATTGGATTGTACTGCACTATCTGTCTTCCTCAGACGTTTTGATGACCATAGCTAGGAAAATGAAAACTAGCCATATTTTATCATACGTGCATAATATGATCCTTATTGCCAAATGTTTAGAGCAAGACTAATAAATGTATGAAGTAGATATGTTTGTCAGCATGTACAATGTGTAACACGGATACTAAACCATGTGTAACATGCATGTCTAATGGCACTTGCTATGTATGAGAAATTGAAATTATAAGTTGTTCTATGTAAATATATATATATATATATATTTGTATATTTAAACATGTTTAAATCTAGTTATGTTTGGGTTTTTTTGTTACTAAATGAATCAGTACTAGCTTTTGAATTAAAATTATAAAATGAGAGTATTTAGCACTAAATTTTAGGGATCCCAAAATGTTTCCGATTGTCTCCTCATAGATTAGCTCAGATTATTTTTAGTTCTTTACTGTAATTGGTAGTCATTTCCTAAGTACTAAGAAAATTGTTTATATACTAAGAACTCTAATAAAGAAGAAAACTCAAAATTCTAGTCATAGATAAAAAAAAATCATTTGCTTGGGGAAATTCTTTCATGTTGCTGATACCACATAGACTTTAAAGCAACATAAATACATTTTGGTAATTAACACTGCAGTGAAAAATATAATTACATACTACCCCTGTTAATGATATAATACTATAATCAACTGAAGTTTTCTGAGCAGATAGTATTAAGAGGTCTCTAAGTGTGGCTGGAATTGGTATTATGAAACTCTTTATGCAAAATCAGCCAACATCATCATTTAGAGTTCTTAGAGCATTTTTTAACCATTAAATCCAAAAAGAAAATTCGGTGTATATATTGGAAACTTAAACTTCTACTAGAATTCTTTTTTAAAAAACAACTAAATATGAGGTATCTAAAATATCAAAAGTTCTGAGATTAAGACTGCCTATAAATTATCAGTACAGTGTATATTATTATGTTCCATTCATGAAATAATAATAAAGTTAGAGGCCAGAGTAGATATCATAACTTCAGAGGATCAAGATAGAGGTTTGATGGGGCTTTTCCTGGTATATCACTATAAACACACTGAAAGCAACCTGGTGTTATTTGGCCTACATCTGATTAATGTGTTTCATTGCAACTTTATCAAGAATCAAGGGACTGGGGATTTAGTTCAGCGGCATAAGCGTCTGCCTTGCCTTGCAAGCAGGCAGTCGTGAGTTCGATCCCCGGTACTGGTAAAAACAAAAAAGACCAAAAAAAAAAAAAAAAAAAAAAGAATCAAGACTTATCACAGTCTTTTAAACAGAATAATGGGACAATACCTTGTCAGAGGAACCTTTCTAATTGACAAGAAATGAATATTTTTGCATAGTTTCTTGAGTGAGAAAGAAATTTAGATTGATCAATTTTCAACTATGGCAAAACACTCAAAATAATTCTGATTAGAGCCTTCTATTTCACTAATTAATTAAACCCCAGTAACTGTGATCTTTAAGCCTACATACATAGATTAACCCCTTGAATGAGTATATGAGAAACCCTTTTGGAAGTCTGTTCTGTGTACGGGTGGACCAGGCTAAATTTAGGTTTGTTTTAATGACTTAGAGAAGAAATGAGATGGATCGGACTGTTGCTCTTTTTCTCTTGCTTTGCTCTCTTTTGATTTTGTATCTTGTTGTGGAAATATGCCAGCCTTTGGTCTGCATCTGCCTGCCTATATTGTTAATATTCCTGTATTTTTTAATGAATATTTCCTGCTTTGTTTTATTGAAACAATTTGATACCTTCTGACCTGTCTCACAGAGAAAACACTACACAGAAGAGATTGCATTACAAATTAAATTCTGATGTGGTTGAAGAGTTGTAAGGCATTAAGGCCAGGCAGAGTAGTGTACTCCTATAAACCTGTAAACACTCTGAGAGGGCTGAAGCAGAAAGAATCCCCACAAGTTCAGTGCCAGCCTGGGCTACTTAGTGAGCTCAAGGTCAGCCTGAACTACGTATTGAGTCTTTATCTCAAAATAATAACAATAGAAAAAGAACTCAAGTTCAATCCCATCCTGGTGACTTAGTGAGACCACTGTCTCAAAGTTGTAAGACACTAAATACAATGTGCAAATTATGGGGAAGCAGACTGTAGGATTAAAATATCTGGTTTCTTCACATTAATGGATGGGATACTTACCTTTTTGAAGATACTTGATTGCAAACCAGACTGTAAATCATTGAACTACACAGTGCTTGTTAACATTTGTGCATTATTTTTTGTTGAATATTTTCTGAAGCACTATTACATTTCACTGAAGATTAGAAAATCTGTTCTCTTTAGTACATTTTGTAAGTTTCTTAAAATACTACCAGTTTAAAATTACCCTTAAGTTTTGGTGTCCAAAGGTAACCAGCTTATAATGCATCTGATATAGGTACGTATTAAATATATATAAATAATATATATATATATATATATATATATATATATATATATATATAGAAAGAAAGGGATGAAGGGAAAAAGATACACATACACATTTTTTTCCATATACCAATTTTTTTAATGCACCCATTTCTTGCAGATACTCAAAGGGAAAGCATTTTGTTCATTTGTAAAGTTGAAATGCTTCAGACAGTGTTATATAGATATATAAATAAAATCAACGGTTTTGTTTTTTCCTAAAACTATGCCTGCTTTGCCTCCTTTATGCTATCTAAGCTATTTTAAAACTTTTTTATTTTAGCCATCGATCAAACTTCTGCTTAAAAATAAATAGTTAATTTGGTAAAATATTAATAAAGTCAGAGATGGAAATTTTCACAGTGAAAGCAATGATCTGCACTATTTTTACTAGTAATTTTTAATAGTTAATGGCTAATAGTTAAGTATGTTATAAATAGAATAGAATAGAAAAGCACATAGATAAGCTTTCAAGTTCACATCACCTAAATTTGATAAAAATTGTTTTATATGTCAACATCTTTGAAATAGTCACACACTGATCCACTTTTATCCCTTTATTCATTTTACACTGTTTTAGACATCACTGGCACCTGCTTTGTGAGAAATTGAAGGCATATGGCCTTTGCATCTGTAAATCTTATAGTCCATAGGAAGAACAAAATAGATACTATGATGGAAAATGAAGTGGAAACCTATTGTATCTGGGGGGGAAAGCTTCTCCAAGGAGCCGGAATTTTTATTAGTACTTGTTTATAACACGTAATAAAAACATTCATCATGGTTAGTTTGCTCATAGAGATATCCAGTCTAATGTTTTTGCTGCCCCTCTCCCTCTATCCTTAGGTCTCCTATCTACTTCAAAAGGTCTTACTCTCATTTTCTTATTACTGTATCTTTTATTTTGCTTTTTAAATTATTTGTACTTTGTGTATACATCTCATATCTCATACTATGCAGTATTTCAACTGTGTCTGATTTATTTCACTTAGCATTATGGTCACAAGGTGCATCAGTTTTCTAAAAAGTATTTAAATGTATCCTTTGTAATGACTGGAGCTGTACTTTTTGAAGATCAAAGATACACAGAAACAAAGCAAAGAGTGTTTGGGGCAGAAAGCACATTATAGACAAAGATTCAAAAATGAGGAGATGGAAATATTTAAGAAATCGGGCAGCTCCAGGAGCTGAGGCCCCGTCAGTGGAGAGAGAAGATGCAAATGTGCAGATGAGCTGGAAAATCAGACCTGGGCCAGGAGGAGCTGAGTCAGCGCTGTGCAGGGCAGGGAAAGATGTGTGTTCTGTTTCATATGGAAACAAGATTTTGGGCTGGGTCAGATTAAAGAAGGACTTAAATAGAGTTTGGAGCCCTTATATTTCAATTTTTTTTTTCTTAAAAATGGAAAAAGTGGTATTGTGAAAGTGTCTTGATACAAAACGTTGTGTGTTGCTTTTATCCATCTAAGTAGAGAAACACCGTGAACTCTAAAGCAGCCTTCCTTCATTGCCCTATGGTGCCTAAATATGGCTGCAAGTGCCATTTGTGTCCCTCCTGTACAAGGTACATTTTTTTGTATAGTATGGAGCCCTCTTGTGATGATTCCCTTAAACTACTCCTGCATTCCTGCCAGAACTGTTGGAAGTATGAGCTTGAGCCTTTGAAGAGCTAGTGGAATTGTGGAAATAACCGCACCTTTAGTAAAATATGAGCCCGTGTCGTGTCTGTGTTGTTTGACATGATGACAGCATGTTCAATGTTTCTTTCAATTGCACTGACATGATTGTATCGACCTAGGTGTACATTCCAAACCGAGTGGCCCTCATCCTTCAGAACGTGGATCTGCCAAACTGAAGAGATCTGATTTCAGCTCCATGCGTGCAGATATGTGTTTTCTTTGCTATTTCTATTGTTACAGAGTTTATAATGTGTAAGCTTTTCAAAATACAGGTACCTAGGCAAACTGTCAGATTGAAATTCAATATTATATATGCAACTATCAAGCTGTTTTGTAAGAAGTAGAGCACTATATGTTTAAAATTTGGGGATCTGTATTTTCAAGTCATCTGAGCAGCTAGGATTTCAACTAAAGTATAATGTATGTCTTAAGAACATTTTACTTTCCTGGGTAATCATATAATACTTTTAACTTCAAATTTGAATTATGTGTCATATACAGTTATTTCTGTTGAATGTATACAATATTTTTAATGATGGATAGTTGATGGTCTTATTTGTATCTATTTGTCTAAATTATGGGATACCAACTCTGTTTCTCTGGATTTCATTCAAATTCTATTTAGAAATTCTATAATAAATATATAGTAGAAATAATATAAAATTAAGAATTGTATCAAAGGTAATGTAAAGCCTCTGTATGAACTTATGAACTTATCTATGCCACATTTTGCATTAAGTGTTTATTTTATGATCTGTTCACCTACTTTTTAGTAAATGGCAATGTGTCAGGTTTCTGAAGACTTGGAGTGGTCATTGTGGTGTATCGGAATATGTCTTTTGCTTTTAATCAATTAAAAATTTGAAGAATTCCTTTGCTGCTGTTTGTTTTGCTGTTGTTTCGTAGAGATTGTTTTAGAATGAATTTAATATGCATCTTCTCAGCTCTGACAACTTCCCTATCACATATGTTCACTTGTGTGATGTGCTAGGAAGTAAATTATTTTTCATTATTTGGAAAATACATTTTTAAATCATATTAATCAATTCTTATACCTAAGCTCCTGTTTAACATATATCTGAGCATTTTAAGAAGCTAAAAAAACTATTTCGATTCACTGGAATATTTTTTGATGAAGATGCACTATTATTAAGTAGTGGGCCAGAGGTTTCATATCTCTGTTATTAAATTCACTCATATATGAGAAATTATGATAAATTTGAGAGAGAAAAGATACCTGTATTACTATTTTAAAGATCACATTTTCCTTTAGAATCAGCACTGGCTTCTTGGTGGTTCTGTTTGTTTGGCTAGTTGATTTTAGCCTGATTTTGTGTGTGTGTGTGATTAATGATTAATATTTTTTAAAAAACTGAGTGATAAGTGAAATATTAACTATCAACCTTAAACTATTTTGAGTAAATTCTAGAGTATGTAGTCTTGGAATGTGTCATTTACTTGAAATTCCAAATAAAACAGTAGTTTGACCTGGAGAAAGACCCAGCAATACCAGCAGATGATGATATGCATGGAGAAACGTCACTGAAGCCACCATGGTACTCTCCCCTTTACGGGGACATGTTAATATGCTAGCACTGCCATTATTTGGGTTTTCTTCTTGCTACTGATAACAGCACGTGTAATCATAATGTTTTCTGTTCTAGTTTAGAATTACTTAACATTGCATTTGTTGTGTATTAGGAGATATGCTGTTTCTCTATCAAGAATACTTTTAAAGGACAAGAAATTAGCATTCTGAATCCATTTTATTGTCATTTTGACACTTTTAGCAATGTTATAAGACCAGAGTAATGGTAGCTATATTTTCAATATATTGCCTCACTTGGCTAAGAGGTTCTTTTGATTTCACAGTCTAACGTTAGATTTAACAAATGTAACATAAATTAATGCTCTTCTCAAGGATCCCAACACACAGACACACCCAGAAGAACAATACATCTGTGTTGCTAGGTAAGAGTTATAATAATACAGGCAAACAAATAAATTATTGAGTCCAGAATAAAATGCAGGGTTTTTTTTTATCTTTCATGCTATGCAGTTTTTATAGCACATTTTTTCTAGTATATTTCACTGTAGAACTTTCATTTTTGTATCAGTGATACACAACAATTTTTTCCCTCTGATGTGCTTATTGCTATCATCAGAGAAGAAAGTAACCCATCTTTGTTGACTTTTTATGAATATTTTCACTAGTTTAATTTTTATGTCCTAGAAAACACAGATAGCTGCAGATTTCTTTGTGTCATTTTCTAATATTAGTAAACAAGTCCTAACCATTGCTTTATTATCCAAAATGAGTTTTGCTGCAATGCTAATAATGATCAATATTTTAGTTTGATATTATCCTACTCAGAAGTAGGATTTTCTAGTAGCCAAAAATCAAGTCGTAAATATTTTTCCTCTAGTGTTTCCCATTTTATACCACTTGAATTGTGAGGGTCAGTGCCTCTCACATTTTCTCTTCTGTAAATTTAATATTTCTCATTTTGCCTTGTTCTTAGCTGTGTTTTCGTCTCTAAGATAAAATAAGGAATTTAGCCACCACGTTCAAGTTCAAAAAGTAACTGGTGGCAACAAACTGACTTTTCTCACAGGCACTGTAAAGAATGCAAGTATTCTTTTTTCCTCTGACTAAAGCACCCTCTCAGCAATAACAATGCAACATTTGTCTTCAGTCAGGGCTATAGCCATTGCTATGCGGAACCATACAGGAGGTTGCCATAATACCCAAGACCCTGCAGAAAGATCTAGGAGAAAGCAATAAGGGGTAATGTGTTCTCCTCTCAGATTCAGCTTTCAACTTCAGAGCAAATATCTTTTCACTGTCTGATCCTGCAGCCGTTGACTTAGACAGTGAAAGCAATGTAAAACAGTCTTGCTATTGCTCTTCCTGTTTAGCGGGTGCGGGAGCAGACATCCCTGATAGAAACCTAAATGGTGAAGCAGCATTCTAGCTGGCCTTGTGCCTTGCAGACTGTTTCTTTCTACCTGTTTTGAGTCATGCTCTGAACTTGGGTCCTTTAGAGTGGTGGAGTTCATTTATCTATTCCTTATAAAGGATGAACAGCAAGCTGTGAACTTTGCCAGGTAAAATATTCTGATGAAAGAAAATAGAAATCTGAAGCAGAGCGGTGTCATGTCCTTTATCCAGCGGAGCTCGTTTATCATTCACAACGTGTTGGAATTGAAATGTAGATAAATTTTCTCACTAAATCCAGCCTTTAGGGGGAGAAGAATCAAATGAACTCCCTACTAATTTCTCTGCTCTATTATCCCATTAATGATGATTTGTAGAAAATTGCAGAGAAACATTCACACTATCAGGCAAAAATTCTTAATTGGTAATGTGAGGAACTAAGATACAGTAGCTGTAAGTGTTTTTGTCCCTGAAATTTAAAACTGGACTTGACTGAGTAGAAAGTATGCCAAGACAGTAATGTTTATGTATATGAAAAAATTGCTTGGTAGTAGATAAGCTTATGCTAACGGGCATGTCATTTGGAAGCTTACTTAATAACTTAATTTTTTCCCCCGTAATTTCTGTTGGAGCAGAAAGGTGTCGGACCCTTGTTATGTGGGCTGTGGGCCATTTTACCTGAGAAGTGTGGCCTAGGGGACAGAAGACCTGCATTCAAGTCTCAGTTCTTTACTCCCAGTGCCTCACTTTAGTAAGCGTTCATTGGCTTTTGGTTCTTATCCAGGTTACAAGACAATTACAAAGAAAGGCTATGGCCTTTGCCATTGAGTCACGTCATGAGTTAACCCGCAGCTAGACACATGGATAGCGAGTCAGGATTGCAGGCTTCTTCCATATTTGTGAGGGTGTTTGTTTGTTTGTTGTTTGTTTGTTTGAGACAAGGTCTCACTATGAAGTTCAGGCTGGCCTTGAACTCACTTTGTAGTCCACACTGTCTTGAACTGCTTCAGCCTCCTGAGTGCTGGGATTACAGGCGTGTGCCACCATGCCCGGCACTCCTTCCATATTTGCCATCACCACCACCTGACATCACTCAGGACTTCTGCACTAAATAATCTGCACTCTCAGATGAGATGTGGTCGGCTTTTTACAGCAGTTTTGCATTTCTTTAACCATTACAAAGGAAAAAGATTCCCAATCCGCTGCTGCTTTTATTTGCATATGTTACATGTTTCTCTAGTATGCAAGGCTGTCTCTGTGACTATCTTCCCCCCATGGTCAGTGTGGTGCCACCATAGCAGTTTCTGCTGTTGTATTGCACTGTATAACCCAGCCACGTGAGTGTCAATTCACAACCTCTGTATAGTAAACAAAGGGACAATGTAAACCAAGTACCCAGTGAAATAGCAACAGGGGCCCTCCAGTGAGACACAGCAACTGAACACTGAGGCTCTCCATTCCTTTCCTTCTTTCTGTTTACCCACAGCCTAGAAGAGACCACTGGCAGGAAGAATAGATGACTACAGTCTTGAGAATTGTGAGAGAAAACTCACACTGAGAGATAGCTGAGTGCACCATACTTTGACTTGAAAGGCTACTCTAATCAGAAGCATACATTGACAGTAAATATACATTTGGATGACTAATTATTAATTTATTGAATGGGAAGAAATACCAACCATCTATCTGAAATGTTGACAATTTTTTGGTATTACAGTAACACAAGGCAAAGCAGAAAATCAGCACCCCCAAAAAGTCATCACACCAAATTACTTTACCACAAAGAATATATATTAAATGACAAAATAAGTTTTAAATTATTTATAAATACTTATGTAAATTAAAACAGGAGAAAGCTGCAAATGTGTAAAAATTAATGTATGTTTTCATCATGTATGCATGAATATATGAATGCACACTTGCATATATAATTGTAAATCAGCTAAGTGTACACAAAATTCACAGATTCCAATATTTATCTGAAATCAATGAATATGTTGATCCTTATATTACTGATACTTAGGTTTATTTACCTGATTGTGTTATAAATATCAGTTTTAACTTTTACTTGGACTTAAAGAAATATGCAGATCTGTGCAGTGAAATATAGCATGTGATTCCAATAGTTTTAAGACTCTTTCCCTGTGTCTTTTATTTTTCCTCTACAAAAAGGAGGAGGAAGTAATCTTTTAACTTTCTTATATATGTCCTGGGTTTCTTTTTAACTGAGCCTATATTTAGTGTCATCCACTCAAGTGGTATAAATGATGAAAAACACTGCACATAATTTTATTACAGGAATGCCTTCAGTTACATCATGAGTTATTGCTTAAAATTGATCCTTTGAGTTAGGGATCCTTTATACACATACACACAGTGTCTTTTTTCTTGAGAAAAGTGGGCATCACTCAGTGGGACTTTTCAATTTAACAAAATCAGTAGAACATATAAATCTTTTCTAAACATATATTTTCAAAGACAATGTTTTGGCTTCCATGTATTGAGAGCTTTCCTGTTACTGTGCCTGCTGTGGGGCACTTCATAGATGTTTTAGTCTGAATGCTATGCAAACACTACAAAACGATGGCTACTGTTCACTTTTCAGTCTAGGACCGTGCTTATTCTAACTGTAATCTGCTGTCTTTCATGCTGTTTGCACAAAAGATCATCAGAGATCTCCAGATAAAGGATTAAAAATTGGCTTTCCAAGGAATAACTGAGAGAAGTCTTTCCCCATTCTGTAGATTGTCTCTTGCTTCTTTCCTTCGATATATAGATGCTTTTTAACTTGATATATTCCCATTTGTTGATTTTCAGTACTATTTCTCATACCATCCGTTCAAAAAGTCCTTGCTAGAAGACTAATAACTATAGTATGCAAAGAGCTCAAAAAGAAATGAGAGACCAAATCAAAAAGTGGACAATCAAAATGAAT